AATTGGAAAAATTGTCTAGAAAAGCAACTATCATCAAGTTTATGAGGAAAACACTCTAATATTCAGGAAGATGAAAATGCTATTAGAATTAATACAGATTAATGAATACCTGGATACAAAACAAACAAAAACAATAGATTGGGAGAGGTTCTGCAGTGCTGGGGATTAAACCCAAGGCCTCACATATGCTAGGCAAGAACTACACCCATGGCAACAATAGATTTCTTTATGGAAGTCTAATACAGTTAGGGGCGTGTGGCTATTTACAAAGGTATATAAAACATCCAGAAACAGCCTTAATATGGAGACAACTACAAAACTTCATATTTATGAACTACTGGTGTGGACAAAAACACATAGAAATTATGTATGACTAGAATATTGTTTAAAATATATACACACACATATGAGACCTGCAATACATTAAAAATATTAAAACAGCAGTTACCTCTAGATGTGAGATGACTGATAGCTTATTATAATTTTTATTTTTTTAATACAGAGGGTTTGGTACCTTCCCCAAACTGTGGCCACAGTTGACAGAGAAGGAAAGGAACAAGGCAACATCAAAGATTCCATTGCTTCAGGAACTGTCCTAGCTGCCTACAGTATGAGAGAAGCAGAGTAGGAAGACTTTGGGGTTACACTGGCCAGGAGAAGAATTCTGGCTTTGCCATCTATTATTGGGAAGTATGTTGGAAGACTTATTCAGCTTGTGAACTCATTTTCTCAACAGTAATAGATTAAAAACCAATTTTTAGTTGTTGGTCTTGCATAAAGATGAAACAGTAGCATATTATATACACAAAGCTGGTTACCCATCAGAACTCCCAGGGAGATTTTGGAAACTACAGACTGTACTTCCTATCTAAGCATCAGGAATTCCACAGGTGGGGAGTACAAATGTATAAGGAGTATCACTATAACATGCACTCCGGGATGCGTTTGTAAATTTTTATACAGCCACCGTATTTGGAAATCTTTAAGAAACCAATAATAGAACTTACATGATCAAACTTCAGGAATACTTACAAATGATATGAATGATACTACTGAGCTACTTCACTTCATGTGTAAAATGCCTATCTTCCAATTAGATTTCAAGTTTCCTGAGGATAGAAGCATATACTTGTCCAAGCACTCAGCACAATCAGGAGGCTATAGAAAAATGCTAAATTTTGTTAATGTTAATGTTAAAGTTAAATGACTCAACAAATAATGTAGAAAAAATACTATTTACCTAATGCCTTTTTAAAAAAAGTATAGTGCTGGAGACTGAACCAAGGGTTGCATAGACACTAGGCAACTGCTCTACACTGAGCTACATCCCTTGCGCCGTGTGTGTGTGTGTGTGTGTGTGTGTGTGTGTGTGTGTGTGCATGTGCTTGTGCACATGTTAGTGGTTGTGCCCAGAGTGCCTCATACATGCTAAGCACACACTATAGCCTTTGAGCTACACTCCCAGCTTTCCTTTTTTTTTTTTTGGTTTTTTGAGACAGGGTCTCACTATGTAGTTGAGACTGCCCTGGAACTCACTATGTAGGCCAGGCTGGTCTCGAACTCACAACGATCCTCCTGCCTCAGCCTCCTGAGTGCTGGGATTAGAGGTGTGCGTCACCACGCCCAGCCCAGTTTTCCAATATCAGTCTGAAACAACAAAATGTAAAATACTGGGGTCTGGATATGACATTATTTCCAACAAAGCACACTTCTGATGACATCATCTTTACATTTACCTATGCAATATTGTTAGAGGAATATAAAAAACATCTTATTCCAAAGTACTGCATTTATCATGTGTTCTCACGGCACATGGATGAGTAAAGTTCATGAAAAACAATAGAGTATGAACAGGATGGCTTCTAACAGCCTTTCTAACTTCTCCATATTTACACTATTTTAAAGAATGGATCAAATTTAGATGGAATAATTACGGAAAAGGACATTCTATGGGAGCTCATCATATTTGTAATATTGACTTCTAGTACAGAATAAAATGAAACAAAAATAAGAAAAAATGTATGAAAGGATTTTTTAACAAACAGCTAGCAGAAAAAGAATGATGGAATGAATAAACAGTTACCTATCCCAAACTCTAAGGAAGATTAGATGTGGCCTTTCTTGCAAAAGAGAACATGTGTTTGAAAGATGTGTGAAAACTGAACGGTTGCTCAGTTTGCCAGGCAGCTGCTTAGTGGACTGCTGACTCCACTTTTGTAGCAGGCTTCAGGGTACCCAGAGTGCCACGCTGTGGGTTAATGATGGAACCCAGCCCAAGGAAGAATTCAAAGACATTCCTCTGTACACTGATAAAGAGCAATCCATCAGTAATGACCACCATGCAGGTTACCAGGACGGCCAGAATCAGGGTCAACATTTTAAACATAAAAGGACACATTAAGGTCCTTCTCCAGAAATTAGATTTCAAGGGCAATCACTGAAATCTGTGAGATAGGAAACTGAGAGAGAAATATACATACAAAGCATGATTGAAAGATATGGTATATTCAAATTTTTAAAAATTTATTATAGTAAAAGACACATCACCATTAAAACCATTCAAACATATTCATCCCATTGTTCTTGCCACTTTCTGAAGCATTTCTAGAAGACATTTTTATTGAGTGTCATTAGTTGCACTGTTATGGCTGTGTTGATGACCTGAATCAATTCAAAATGTTTACCTTTCATGATCATTTTGACTTTGGAGAAGGGCCAGAAGTCACACAGTGCCAAATTCAGTGAGTAAAGCAGATCAGGACAAACTGCAATATTTTTCCACTGACTGGTAGTTGGCAGCAGCATTTGCCATATTTTTTTATCACACCTTATAAAGCCACTCACAAAAGAGGTCTTTCAGAACTGCTTCAGAAAGTGGCAAGAAATAATAAGACAGGGCCAGCGATTTGGCTCAGTGGTTCTGCTGCCTGTCTTGCAAGCACAAGGGCCCAAGTTCAATCCCTGGTACCAAAAAAAGAAAAAGATAGGATAAGTGTGTCTGAAGTGAGGGGAAGTATTTGTGTGTGTATGTGGAGGGGGGTAACGGCAATGTCTCTTTTACTATAATAATTTCTAAAAATTTAAACAGTAGCTGCATTTTTTATTTTTTGTGTAAAATGGACAGTGTGGCTACAAATGAATGCAAAAAGAATACTATTATTCCTCCAGCACATTCTGTGCAATAATGAACACAGTTAAAATGGATTCAACTTAAAGGAACAAATGGGAGAGAAGCAAAGTAGATGTATCAAAATTTAACCTGAACTGTCATATTGTAGAAGGGATTACTGTACTCATACTTGAGGTGCTCTGTTCACCCTATTTTTATTTATTTATTTAAAGATGTGGAAGTGAAGAAGGCAACAGGTAGCTGTAAAAATACAGGAACTTAGATAAAAGCGGCTGTGTATTTAGGAACTACATTACGACATATTAGAAAATGTGAAGAAAGTGGACAAGATGAATGATACAAAGTGTTCTCAGTTTGTATTAAACACAACAGAGAGAAGTATTAATAAGGCCAACAGAAGAGGCCAGCTTAGTAAGATTTTTTTAAATATCAAAAATAAAACCAAAGAGCTGGGGATTTGGCTCACTGAGCACCATGCCTGCCTTGAAAGCACAAGGTTCTGAGTTCAATCCCTGGTACCAAAAATAAAAATAAAAAAATAAAACCAAAGAGATATTCAAGCACTACAAGTCACAGAGTGAGATATGAGCAGGAAAAGGAAGAAAATGAAATTTCCTATTCTACATAGTCATTATTTAGAAGCAATCATTAGGAAAAGCATACCTAGTGAGGTTACTGGAGTCTATAATCATAACAGGAGAAGGCAAGAAACAGTGCAGTTTAGTATGAAACTGGCCTTTGTATGAGGACACAGCTGGATATAAAACATGGTACTATCACACCTACTACCTGCTAGTTCTGTAACTTAGCAAATTAATGAAATGTCTCTGGGCCTCTGTCTCATCTGTAAATAATAGCAAAAATATCTACAACTTGCAAGATTGTTGCATTAGGTAATTCATGTAAAGTATTTAATATAGCAGTAGGTAGGTACTGTTGTTATTATAATAATCATTAACATTGCTAGTCTTATAATTATTGTGTACCAATGGAGACAGCAAAGAATTATTAGGTATCTGTTACATACCAATATGATACTCTTTTTATTTCCCCCACTTGGCAGTGAAGAATAAACCTAGGGATTTCACAATGACCTACACCTCCATCCACTTTTTAATTTTTTATTTTCAAAAAAGGTCTTACTAACTCACTAAGTTGCCTAGGCTGGGCTTGAATCTGCGATCCTCCTGCTTCAGCCCCCAGAGCGGTAAGGTTACAAGTGTGTGCCAACACACTCAACTAGATATTTCTTTTAAAAGAGAATGACGAGAAAACCTAGGAAACATGCTATAACCATGATTAAGTATTTTAGTAGTAATTTACTTTTGAAATGGTTTTTTAAAAGTCTTTTCTTCTTGAGAGCTGGAAGCTTTGAAAATTAATATGGTCAGCCTTTATAACACATACCGTATGAACACATACAGCAAATGCAAAAAATACCAGCAATATAATGGCTTTAAGCTAAAAGAATTAGCATATATGCAAAAAATCATTATTAGGGCCACTAATGACGCAAAGGTAAGTCTAGGTTAGAACTGGCTATAGCATGATCTATAATCCAGAGACATATCTTAAAAAGCATAGGATAATCCTTGGCTCTAAAAGCAAGGTACTGAAATATTTTGTACAAAATATCCCCTACGCACATGAATCTCTGTGACCCAAAGTGAAAGGTGGACAAAAAATACAAGACCTAAAGAACACACAGCTTCAGTGAGCCAAGGCCACAAGGGAAAGAGCTCAACGCTCAAAACATAACAGTATCTGCCCAGAGGGTTTAAAAAGATGAATTAAAAACAAAAGTTCTTATATAATAATATAAACTAAATATATAAATATTGAATTAAGAATTAAAATTATCTCCATTTACCTGATTGCTTAGAATTTCTTTCTTTCCACTGAATATTTTTGCATTTGATCTGGTTTTGTCTCTCTTTTCGGAGTCGTTCTAATCTTTGAGCTTGAAAAGAAATATTATAACTATAAGTTTGTCAATGAAAGTTTACTATAAACAAAGACATAATTAACTACCTTTATATGAATAAAGATGTTTTATATTGTATATGTAGGGAAAAAGACATAAAATTTTAAAGGTGGCACCCCTGAAAAGCAAATACCAACAAAAACATGAAAATATTCTTGATTTATAATTGAAATTAGAGGATATAAAACATTAATAGAGATCATAAAGATAGTATTAACATGGAAGAGAATAATAAAATGTGAAAACTTCTGTGATTAATATGACATTTCATTATATAAATCATTAATAACGGTCTTAAAGGAATTTTAATGCACAAATGAACTGAAGTGAATATTACATTACAGGAATAAAATTACTGTTATGAATTACTCTACCCGTTTCAAAAATTAAAGATAAATGAACTTAGACTAGACTATTAAAGTTTTAAATATAAAATCCTTTATCTAAAAATCATGAAAATTATAAAATGTCAAAGCTATATAAATTAGCATAGCTTTTCTTCAGTGGGCTGAAACAGTTTATAGGTAGTAAAATAAATGATTTGTATCTTTGTAACATTAGTCAAATCTTAAAAAGAACAATTTTTCTTTTAAAAAAATTTAAGATATGCTGACAGTATCAAAGTAAATTCTTTAGTCACTAGGACAACCAACAATCTCAATTAATTAATTAGCATCTTAAGTGCTACCTAAAGAAATTTCAATGTCATGGGTTACCTAAAATTATGCATTTGTGATCACATTGCTACTGGCTGATCCATCTTCAAAAATTGGTAAACTGATCCTATAAAGAAATACCATCCGGCACCCATTAACAATTGCTGCATTAGAGATCACAACGGGAAGGAAAGTTACAACTGATTCCATCTCTTGAAATTGTTTTCTCTTCCTAATCTTTAGCATCCTATTCTGGCACATTACTAATAGAAAATAAAGTACATTTCTTTTTCAACCACTTTGAAAGTGGGAAATCATACACTCTTGCCTTGGCATTGTAGTAAGGAAACATTGAAGATAATCTTGCCAGAAATTTAAACTGTCCTGGCAAAAGCATTCTGACAATGTCACTATATTTTAACCAAATTCCACTGAAGAAAAATACATTCAATTGCAATTAATAAATGTGAAGGGTACAGCCAAAGTAATATAACCATAAAGCTCTCAATTTAGCATCATCCTCCTATTGAAATCCATTTGACCTGTCATATAAGATATCATCTCAATAACCTGCAAGGAGGTCAATTTCAACTAGAGAACTGAGAATCAATGATTCTAAATTATATTCAAACCTTCACTCAAATCCTATTTTGATAAAAGTTCCTTTAGATATTGGGAAATGCTATTAATTATTTCCATCATGAGAGCAAATTATTCTTTTTGATGTCATATATGGTGAACTCTGAACCAAAGCCTTAATGTGGCTTTCATTGTATACTGTATACAGCTCTACCTGCAATAAACCTTTATGTACAATTACTTTTGATCCACAAAATACACAAATATTTTCAATGTTGTTTTATATCCTGCCATGACCTTTCATCAGAGTTAGCGGTTACTGCTGCTAATTTAGAGATTGTATTTTCTGATGATCTAAAAAAATAAAAATTACCTCCTAGAATAACCTGTCATATCAGAACTACAATATATATTTTAAATACTACATCTAAGTAAGGCCTTGGTTTATCACATTCCCCTTGAAAGGCTACCATAAAGTATAAGCTGGAAAAAAGGCAATGAATAAGTTTAAAGCTAATAATCAAATATATAAGCCAAAATTGAGCAATTTTTAAACCACAAAGATGAAAGGGTAGTGACAACCTAATAAGGGTAGTATCAAAAACAGGGGCACCTTTTCTTTTTTTGGTACTGGGAATCGAACTCTGGACCTTGCTCTTGTGAGGTAGGCAGTGGCACCACTGAGCTACATCCCCGGCCCTAGGGGCATCTTTTCTAATTTCCCAATGTAAGAATTCCTATTAAAAATCAGCCCTTCTGAGCTAAATTAAATCTTTCCTCCTTTAAAAAGAAACAAATAAACATTAAAAATGTAAAATAAGGGCCGGAGATTTAGCTTAGTAGTTCCATTGCCTGCCTCTCAAGTGCAAGGACCCAAGTTCAATCCCCAGTGCCAAAAAGATAAGGATAAAAATAAAAATCAGCCATTGGGCCAGGGATTTCCATGCCTGTCCTTCTGAAGCACAAGGTGCTGAGTTTGATCCCCGGGAGAGAAAAAAGTAAATAAAATAACATAAGATCAGGGATAATCAGTTGTCTCAGCCCCCCACCCCTTCCATCCCCTTACAATTCCTACAGGGGTAAGAACCGTCTCAGGCAACAGCCTATACTTCTTAGCTGGTCAGCTCCCTGCATTAAAAGTTCTTTATTTCGTCAACTCAACCTGAAACCTGCCTCCAGGTAATCTTACCTACTGGACTAATGTTGTTCTGTAAAGACAGTCAAAAAACAGGGGCACATACCTTTCCACAAGTGCCTTTTACAAAGATAAGATAGCACATGTCGTTCCTCCTCACTTTTCCACCTATTTCTCTTCTGTTCACTTCCTTTTTAATAACATCACTCCAGAGAACCACTCCATTCATGCTTGCAGATATGGAGATGTTGCTCAGACTCAGTCTGACACTTGAATGTTCCTATTAATATACAGAAAGTTCCCCCCATTGAACCTATCCCGGCATTATGCATCACCGCATAAGACTGTGTACTGATTTAAAGTTCAGAAGACATGACTAGAAGACAACGTTTACCTGTGTTTGAGCGTCTTCTAATACCAAAGTCCCAACTTGAGGTAATATCGACTGACTGGGCGTACACATAGCCCTGAGTCTCACCATTGCTTCCCTGAATTTCTGACCCACTGTCTCCAGTCATTGAAGGAGGATGAATCTTCTCTAGGTCAACATCATGATCAATGAGAACCATCTCACACATTCCTGTGTCATCACTGGTCACATGTGACTGTCGAATATGAGCTAGAATGATAGTTGGATTGTCCAAGAAGGCCATCCTTTCTGTGGGCCAATTTCCTTAAAAGGCTATTTTCTCCTCTTCATATTGCTTCACGAGCTCACCTACCTAGAAACATGATATACACAGCAATATTTAATAAGGCACAAAATGACTGAATCATTTTTCAAACAAATTCAATGCGGTAAAATGCTACCTGGAAAAATCAATATTTATCCGTATATGTAGGAGTTTAAAAAGAGTAAGTCAAAGCTGAAAGGAACTCCTATAAGCACTATGGGCTATGGCTCTAGTCAATGAGATCTCCATGGTATCAGAGAGGAAAGCTTGTTCTCTTGCAAAACATATAACAGTACCTCCTTAGTCGGGTTACTCAAAGCACAGAACTACTGCTAAAGCAATTGTATCTTTCCTTTCTCCCTTCACTCCCATGCAGTATTCTCATGATTTTATAAGGCTGTGGGGGAATGAGTTGTATTTTCCTCAAATGATACTATATTTCATCCATTTACATTTTTTCCTTCCTGTCATATGATTGTGAAGTATTTAAAAGGGCACAATGCTTTCTGAGATGCTGGGGATTTTACAAAAGTGTACACCACAGTAATTTTGCTCAATAAACATATTTCCCTTTCTTTTGATTTAAGATAGTATTGTGCTTTTAAAATAAAACTTATTAATCAAAGTTGCCTTGCTACAGGATTAATTTCTTATTTTAGAAACCTAATTATAAGAGTGGCTTCCTCGATCCTGTTAAAACAATAACAATGTTTATTCTAAAAATAAGACAGTACCTGCTCAGTTAAATGGGAATACTCAACAAAGAAAATATTACAGAACAGTCATTAGGAACTAGGCCCTAGAGACAGAACTGGGTTCAATCCTGGCCCTGTCACTTGCTTGGGATTCAATCTTGGTCGAAGTACTTAAACTTGTTTAGCTTCTCTTCATGTTCTTCATTCATAAATAGAAGTTCCAAGGATAACAGGATATAGAGGTGATGAGGCAAGTAAAGTATTCAAAAGACTACACAGTACATGATTAAGCAAATATAGGCTGCTATTCATAAGCATGATGATGGTAAAAATATCACTAGTTTCAGTTTTGAATGCTTCTTTATTCATAAAACCTATAAATGTATCATCCTTCTTTGGTAAATGGATGGCAGACAAAAATAAATCTGTAGTTCCTTTGTGGCAGAGGATACTGCAGCTCATCTGGATCACCTACTTCTTTCCCCAAAATCATTCTGAAAATCAAGGAATATGAAAGCTTCACTGAATATGCTCCTGGGGATAGTCCTGGAAGAGTTTTATTTTCAGAAATACCTGTAACTGCCAGGCATGGTGGTGCTGAGGCAGAAGGACTGCAACTTCAAGCCCAGCCTTGAAGTTAGCCTTAGTGACTTAGCAATACCCTCTCTCTCTCAAAAAAAAAAAAATAAATAAATAAATAAAAATAAATAAATAAGGGCTGGGGCTAACGACCTAGGTTAAATCTCTGGTACTGCAAAAACAAAACAAAAGAAAACAACCTATAACTGAGGCTAGGAATGTAGCTCAGCAGGTAGGTGACCTGTCTAACATGTACAGCTCTGCATTTCATCCCTGCTATGGGGGGGGG